ACTGAGCCACATGGCCTTTCAGACTGAATGTACCCAATGTGTGTTGGTTAGCCTCTCTCTCTAACCAGTAGGCATCACTTCCCTTCTAGAGCCAGAGATCGACTCAGAAGTCTTAATCTCCAGTATTCTCTTGCTGTCTAGCAAAAAATTGTGTAATCCACTGGCAAAGCATGTCACGTCTTCCTCTACTCACTGGGTCATATAGACTAAAAATAGCAATTACTCCTGTAGTTCAAATGGTAGAGGCCTACGCTGTGGATCTGGGATCCAGTGGTTAAACACTGCTGAAGATGCATTCACAGTGGGATCTACATGGGTTGCATATAATAGATTTTTTCCCATTTTTCTTTTTAAAATAGTTGATTCAGTTCACACAGTGAAAAAAATCCTTTAAAATAGATTTTATAGTTAATGTTTTTCTAGCAATTATGCCGCAAAACCCAGGTGTTCCAGAGTCTGGTCATTTGTCACATATTTCAACTGTTGGCATGACACTTTGGCTGCTTTGAAGACTGATAGGTAGGATAAACAGATCCCCATTGCAGGGGCACAAATATTTTCCATTGCTATCAACCCACCCAAAAAGACTGGAGTAAAAGCTGGAAATACAGTACACGGCTAGAATTTAAGGGAGAAAACCTTGAGAATGTTGAAATTTTGCAAAAAACAAACCAGAAAGCCAGGAAATTTGAAGATAATGTAAAAACTTCACAAAATAATTAGTTTTGAATACTTTCATAAAACCTAACTCTGTCCTCCTGCTACCCACACCTCCCTGGCCACAAAATCCTCTTTCTGATTCAGCCGTAGCATTAATACACTATGAAGAAGTGATTTAAAAAAACATTTTTAAATGGCAACGTGCTTGCTTCTCGAAAACACAGGATACTGTTTGGTGACCTCTTACAACTAGCTGCCACAATGTACCTCTATCTGTGGAAAACCACCAACCCAGCCAGCTTGAGTCTACGTCTGCAGACATTTTAAACCCTGTCCCAGTATATAGGGCTGGCTCACATTTAAGATTGCGAATAGCAAGATACGAGAATTAATGGTTATAAAGGGCTTTGCGATCCTTGGATGAAAGGTGCTATTTAAAAACAAGGAAATAACTATAATAATATCCAAGACTGACATCAATTTAATTATCTTATGCCAGTTTTACAGACAGGCGCTGATGCACATTTTCAGTTATTTCTGTGTAATTCAACATAAATCAATAAAATAATTTGACTTCTGTGGACACAGGGAAAAGTTAGTTTTAAATTAGTTAAAAGTCACTACTAGCATGGACAATTTTTTTAAATGAGCCAGATCCTCATCTGGTGTAAATTGGCATAGGTATGATCCCATATATATATATATATTTTTTTTTTTAACTCTACAGCTTCCAAAATCATGCACTGATGTGGAGCTACACTGATTTACATCAACTGAAAATCCACCGCAAAATGCTTGTTAAAGGTATCTTGTGTCCCCACTGGTAATCTGTGGCTATTGTATGTCTTCCAAATGCAGGCTGTTACCGAAACCTGTACTAGCGTGAACAAGCATCTAGCTTGACATGCTTAATATAACCCTGGAAAAAAAGCTGTTGGTAATAACTGGTATAGGGCATTATAGCAAGAGTGGTTTTGGTAATCTGGTGGAGATCTGGAACAGCTAGGCCACTCAAAAGGGGAGGTTCAAGCTTTCAGGGTCTAAGGCTGAGAGTATCTGGTATATAATACAGGGTTAAAGGCCTCTAGTCAAGTTGCAACAGAGTTAGGCTTGTGTTTTTATGGCAGTGGGCTGTGTAACTGCATGTTCCTATTCTCCTAATACCATACTATTGTAATTAGAAGTGTGAATACATAGTATTAGATTCCCCTTGAGTTAGGTTAAAAAGAGTCTCATCTCTAGGAACTCCTCAGTAGCATGTTGACAGTTGGTGCTTGTGACCCAGGTCACTCCTGAGCTCAGGACAAACCACTACCAAGACCTTGGTCAGGTTTAACAAAACAAAAAGGGTTTATTTGGTTGTTGCCCTGCTCAGGCACAGTACTACCAGCCCAGTCTCACCCAGTAACAACAAGTAAGGAATGAGTAACAATAGTCTCACATCTGACCTTCCTTCCCACAAAGAGGCTGAGGCAGGCAGCAGTCTCTCAAGAAGTTCCTGTTTCCAGGCCAGTGTCTCTCACGTACTGAGAACTACTCTTCTTCCCACTCAGCCCCCAGCTGAGCTGTGTTCTCCTCTATTAACCATTCCTCCCAAGACAGTGTAGTGCAGTGGGGCTGATTAAGCCCACAGCATCTCATTAAAGCTCTCCTGATCAGTGTGGGGTTTGCATACCCCATTAAAGGGTTTAAAACATACTGTTTGATTTGGAAGACAATGCCAAAATTGCTCTAAGGTTTTTCTGAAGTACAATGTGAATGTGTCCATAAAACTGTCCTTCCCCTGTTTCCACACATTCACACAGGCATACAACAGGATCTGAAACAGCAATATGAATTACAAAATATGGACACTGTTACACCTGGAACAGTTGTATAAAATAGTTTCGTGTGAGAGAAAGCCTTGAGCCTCATGCCACAAAATCACAGCTGAGCAAAGCATTCCCACTGAAGCTCAAACCCATTCAAACATAGCCTGGATATGAGGTTTAAAATACTCTGTTCACACAGTTCATGAGCTCCTCAGTCTTCGCCCCTGTTCACAGAAAGGAGGAATGGCTGGTGGGCTGCACCTGGAACACTGTTAAGTTAAATAAGGCATTTTCCAAGGCTTGAGATTGTTAACCATACCAGACTGGCACAACTCTACCCAAAGTGCACGAGTGGTGGTGTTATCAAAGAAATCACACATGTTGCCCTGTACTAGTGCTTTAGCATTAATAGAGCTAGTATAGTCCTTTGCACTTTCAGAATAATACTCTGTATTTTATGTAGTGATTCAGTCATAGAACTCTAAGGGTATGTCTACACTACGAAATTAAGTCGAATTTATAGAAGTCGGTTTTTTAGAAATTGGTTTTATATATTCGAGTGTGTGTGTCCCCACAGAAAATGCTCTAAGTGCATTAAGTGCATTAACTCGGCGGAGCGCTTCCACAGTACCGAGGCAAGCGTCGACTTCCGGAGCGTTGCACTGTGGGTAGCTATCCCACAGTTCCCGCAGTCTCCGCTGCCCATTGGAATTCTGGGTTGAGATCCCAATGCCTGATGGGGCTAAAACATTGTCGCGGGTGGTTCTGGGTACATATCGTCAGCCCCCCGTTCCCTCCCTCTCCCCCCCGTGAAAGCAAGGGCAGACAATCATTTCGCGCCTTTTTTCCTGAGTTACCTGTGCAGACGCCATACCACGGCAAGCATGGAGCCCGCTCAGCTCACTTTGGCAATTAGGAGCACATTAACCACCACACGCATTATTCAGCAGTATATGCAGCACCAGAACATGGCAACGCGATACCGGGCGAGGAGGCAACGTCAGCGCGGTCCCGTGAGTGATCAGGACATGGACACAGATTTCTCTGAAAGCATGGGCCCTGACAATGCATGCATCATGGTGCTAATGGGGCAGGTTCATGCCGTGGAACGCCGATTCTGGGCTCGGGAAACAAGCACAGACTGGTGGGACCGCACAGTGTTGCAGGTCTGGGACGATTCCCAGTGGCTGCGAAACTTTTGCATGCGTAGGGGCACTTTCATGGAACTTTGTGACTTGCTTTCCCCTGCCCTGAAGCGCATGAATACCAAGATGAGAGCAGCCCTCACAGTTGAGAAGCGAGTGGCGATAGCCCTGTGGAAGCTTGCAATGCCAGACAGCTACCGGTCAGTTGGGAATCAATTTGGAGTGGGCAAATCTACTGTGGGGGCTGCTGTGATGCAAGTAGCCCACGCAATCAAAGATCTGCTGATATCAAGGGTAGTGACCCTGGGAAATGTGCAGGTCATAGTGGATGGCTTTGCTGCAATGGGATTCCCTAACTGTGGTGGGGCTATAGACGGAACCCATATCCCTATATTGGCACCGGAGCACCAAGCCGCCGAGTACATAAACCGCAAGGGGTACTTTTCGATAGTGCTGCAAGCTCTGGTGGATCACAAGGGACGTTTCACCAACATCAACGTGGGATGGCCGGGAAAGGTGCATGATGCTCGCATCTTCAGGAACTCTGGTCTGTTTCAAAAGCTGCAGGAAGGGACTTTATTCCCAGACCAGAAAATAACTGTTGGGGATGTTGAAATGCCTATATGTATCCTTGGGGACCCAGCCTACCCCTTAATGCCATGGCTCATGAAGCCATACACAGGCAGCCTGGACAGTGGTCAGGAGCTGTTCAACTACAGGCTGAGCAAGTGCAGAATGGTGGTAGAATGTGCATTTGGACGTTTAAAGGCGCGCTGGCGCAGTTTACTGACTCGCTTAGACCTCAGCGAAACCAATATTCCCACTGTTATTACTGCTTGCTGTGTGCTCCACAATATCTGTGAGAGTAAGGGGGAGACGTTTATGGCGGGGTGGGAGGTTGAGGCAAATCGCCTAGCTGCTGGTTACGCGCAGCCAGACACCAGGGCGGTTAGAAGAGCACAGGAGGGCGCGGTACGCATCAGAGAAGCTTTGAAAACCAGTTTCATGACTGGCCAGGCTACGGTGTGAAAGTTCTGTTTATTTCTCCTTGATGAACCCCCCCGCCCCTTGGTTCACTCTACTTCCCTGTAAGCTAACCACCCTCCCCTCCTCCCTTTAATCATTGCTTGCAGAGCCAATAAAGTCATTGCTGCTTCACAGTCATGCATTCGTTATTCATTCATCACACAAATAGGGGGATGACTACCAAGGTATCCCAGGAGGGGTGGTGGAGGAGGGAAGGAAAATGCCACACAGCACTTTAAGCACAGCACTTTAAAAGTTTACAACTTTAAAATTTATTGAATGACAGCCTTCTTTTTTTTGGGCAATCCTCTGTGGTGGAGTGGCTGGTTGGCCGGAGGCCCCCCACCGCGTTCTTGGGCGTCTGGGTGTGGAGGCTATGGAACTTGGGGAGGAGGGCGGTTGGTTACAGAGGGGCTGCAGTGGCAGTCTGTGCTCCAGCTGCCTTTGCTGCAGCTCAACCATACACTGGAGCATACTGGTTTGGTCCTGCAGCAGCCTCAGCATTGAATCCTGCCTCCTCTCATCACGCTGCCGCCACCTTTGAGCTTCAGCCCTGTCTTCAGCCCGCCACTTACTCTCTTCAGCCCGCCACTTACTCTCTTCAGCCCTCCACCTCTCCTCCCGGTCATTTTGTGCTTTCCTGCACTCTGACATTATTTGCCTCCACGCATTCGTCTGTGCTCTGTCAGTGTGGGAGGACAGCATGAGCTCGGAGAACATTTCATCGCGAGCGCGTTTTTTTTTCTTTCTAAGCTTCACTAGCCTCTGGGAAGGAGAAGATCCTGTGATCATTGAAACACATGCAGCTGGTGGAGAAAAAAAAAGGGACAGCGGTATTTAAAAAGACACATTTTATAAAACAGTTGCTACACTCTTTCAGGGTAAACCTTGCTGTTAACATTACATACATAGCACATGTGCTTTCGTTACAAGGTCGCATTTTGCCTCCTCCCACCGCGTGAACAGATTTTGGTTGAATGCCAGCAAACATACACTGCAATGCTTTGTTCTACAGTGATTCCCGAGTACGTGTTACTGGCCTGGAGTGGTAAAGTGTCCTACCATGAAGGACGAAATAAGGCTGCCCTCCCCAGAAACCTTTTGCAAAGGCAGAACCGCAAATGCCAGGGCAAAGTAATCCTTTCACATGCTTGCTTTTAAACCATGTATAGCATTTTAAAAGGTACACTCACCAGAGGTCCCTTCTCCGCCTGCTGAGTCCAGGAGGCAGCCTTGGGTGGGTTCGGGGGTACTGGCTCCAGGTCTAGGGTGAGAAACAGTTCCTGGCTGTCGGGAAAACCGGTTTCTCCGCTTGCTTGCTGTGAGCTATCTACAACCTCCTCATCATCATCTTCTTCGTCCCCAAAACCTACTTCCGTATTGCCTCCATCTCCATTGAAGGAGTCAAACAACACGGCTGGGGTAGTGGTGGCTGAACCCCCTAAAATGGCATGCAGCTCATCATAGAAGCGGCATGTTTGGGGCTCTGACCCAGAGCGGCTGTTCGCCTCTCTGGTTTTCTGGTAGGCTTGCCTCAGCTCCTTCAGTTTCACGCGGCACTGCTTCGGGTCCCTGTTATGGCCTCTGTCCTTCATGCCCTGGGAGATTTTCAGAAAGGTTTTGGCATTTCGAAAACTGGAACGGAGTTCTGATAGCACGGATTCCTCTCCCCAAACAGCGATCAGATCCCGTACCTCCCGTTCGGTCCATGCTGGAGCTCTTTTGCGATTCTGGGACTCCATCATGGTCACCTGTGCTGATGAGCTCTGCATGGTCACCTGCAGCTTGCCACGCTGGCCAAACAGGAAATGAGATTCAAAAGTTCGCGGTTCTTTTCCTGTCTACCTGGCCAGTGCATCTGAGTTGAGAGTGCTGTCCAGAGCGGTCATAATGGAGCACTCTGGGATAGCTCCCGGAGGCCAATACCATCGAATTGTGTCCACAGTACCCCAAATTCGAGCCGGCAACGTCGATTTAAGCGCTAATCCACTTGTCAGGGGTGGAGTAAGGAAATCGATTTTAAGAGCCCTTTAAGTCGAAATAAAGGGCTTCATTGTGTGAACGGGTGCAGGTTTAAATCGATTTAACGCTGCTAAATTCGACCTAAAGTCCTAGTGTAGACCAGGGCTAAGGATAGCTCTACACTGCAGCTGGGGATGAGCCTCCCAGCCTGGATAGACAGATTTGCACTAGCAAGGCCTGAGCTAGTGTGCTAAAAATAACAGTGTGGACATTGCAGTTCAGGCTCTTAACTCCACCTGACCCCCTAAGCTTAAGAGCCTGCACTACAGCCTGAGCTACAATATCCACTGCTATTTTTAGCAGGCTAGCTTGAACTCCACTACTGTGAGTCTGTCTACCCAGACTGGGAAGCTCATTCCTAGCTGTAGTGGACATAGGTAACAACTTTTAGTTTTCCTCCCAGGTGCTCTGCCCCAAGGCCCTACCCTCCACTCCTCTTCCAGACCCCACTCCACCCTCTTCCCCTGAGGCCCTGCCCTCGCTCCACCTCTTCCCGCCCCCGCTCCACCCCCTCCCCGAGGCCCCCACTACACGCTGCTCTCTGCCCTCCCCCAAGTCCCTCCCTGAGCCGCCAAACACCTGTTAGGCTGTGGCCGCCAATCAGTTGTTTGACAGCATTGCTGAACAGCTGTGGCTGGTGGGCATCCACTATTTTTTTCCCATGGGTGCTCCCAGCACCTGTGGTAGTGGAGACATACTTTAAATGTTTTACCGTGGGGTATCGGAGTTATCTTTCCCAAACTGTGGGATAAGTGTCTCGGTCAATGGTCACACAATGAGTCAGTGTCTCTTGACTCCCAGCCCTGTGCTTAACTCACCAGTTTTTAGTTGCGATATACACTTCTTCCTTAGAGATAAATGACTGGGAAATATTAGGGAAGCTAGAATTTTTTATACCTGTACATCTCAGATTAAGGAAAAACTTGAATGCATATTTAAAAATTGCTACATTTAATTAATTCTCCAAAGTGAAGTGATCCCAACACAGAAAATAGGAGGAGGAGACAAACTGAGAAAGAAGTACACCGAAGAGAACTTCAGACTCAAGCTATGTACTTGGCTTGAGAACCAGCTAAATGGAGAACAACTTCACAGGTTTGTACAGTGCCTAGAACAATGGGGTCCAAGTCCATGACTGGGGCTCCTAGGCACTATGATAATAATGATGAATAAGGAAGAGACTTCAAATACTATTTACCAGGACAAAAGATAGGCGTGGCATAAGTCAGTGTCCTGAGCATTCTGTTTTAAGTTTCACCATATCTGGTAGGTTCTCATTAGCCTTCTGCTTTGTACACAGATAATATTGTGTTCATCAATCTGGGCATCACACCACTTTTATACTGTCACTTTCAATTACTGTACTTCTGCTCTGTTCTTGCCTTTCTTCAGTCTCTTACAGGCACCGACTTATGTACTCCACCTTTATAGAACTGCTATTTTCTTCTCCCTCCTTGGATTTCGAGACGCAGAAGTCCTGCCGGCAGCCCCACAGATATCTATCGATCTACAGAGGTTGAATCCAAGACAAAAAGCTGGTTAGAGCAGCAGAGCGATTTTCATCTTGAGAAATCAAAAGCAAGAAAAAGCAGCACAATTTTAAAAAATGTGATTAGTAACTACAGTCCCATGATTTTCAAAGTGGGGAGCCAATGTTTTAGCAACCCTTCTCTCATTATAAAAATACTGAGATGCACACATTAAGCTTTGCCTTGTAAGGCAAAGAATTCTCACCACTGGAGCTGGAAAGAAAAGTAATATTGGTGTGTTAATTTCTGCACTGCTTCCTACGCTCTGCTTCTCTCTCTTTTTCCTTAGACCTGGTCTACACTAGAAAATTAAGTTGACTTAACTGTGTCACTAAGGGATGTGAAAAACCCACACCCCTGAGCAGCGGTGGCGGAGCCATCCCAAAAGTGAGGGGCCAGGAGCCCCTTGCCCCCTCCGCGGCTCTGCCCCTTCTGCCCGAGGCCTTGCCCCTTCCACCCGAGGCCCCACCCCTGGCCAAGCTGGAAGCCGGAGCAGGCCGGGAGCTGCAGAGCAGCTCCCAGCCCTAGCCCATGTCTCTGCTCCATGACCCACCCCCCCAGATGCCTGCATGGCTCTTCCTGACCCGGCTCTGGCCGGGAGATGGGGCCTCAGAGCCACAGCCCAGCCATGGTAAGAGCCACACGGCCATGCAGCTGTGGGGAGCTGGGGGGCAGAGACATGGGCCAGGGGCTGCTCTTGCCCCCCCGGGCAGCTGGAGGATCCGTGGTATGGCGTGGTGCCCCAGGCGGCCTGGGCTCCCTGCCCAGGATCCAGCTGCCAGCCTGGCCGGGGGGGCGGGTCCTCAGGGGGAAGAGGAGGCCTGTGGTGAAAAGTGGATGGGCCAGGCCCATCTACTTTCAAAAAGTGGGAGGCCATGGTCCCCTGGCTCCCCCAGTTCCAGCGCCCTTGGCAGCACAGTTAAACTGACCTAACCCAGTGTAGGCAGTGCTAGGTCAACAGATGAATTCTGCCAACCTAGCTACCCCCTTTCAGGGAGGTGGAGTACCTACACTGATGGGAGAAGCCCTCCCATTGGCATAGGCATTGTTTACATTGAAGTAGTATAGAGACGCAGCTGCAGTGGTGCCTCTGTGCTGCAGTAGCATTTCAAGGGCAGACAGGCCTCTAGTTAATTCTTAAACATTTTTATTCCCTGCAATTGTTTTCTTTCCCCAGACTTTATTTCTTCATTGCTTGATGTGCACAGTGGATTCCAGTTATCGCTGCAGCCTGCAGGCAGAGAAAAAGGGGATGTCAACAGTTGTCTATTATCTTGTTTTGCTGTACACTGGTAGTACAATTCTGCAGAACTAGGGAGGTACTATCTTTTATGCATGTTTTATTTTTCCTGTAGATTGTTTTCAGATATATGTTTCCTCTAGAAAAAAAATGAAACTCATGGATATGGCTATTCTTTCATCAACTTTTACAAAAATCACAAGTGAGTAATGGTGAAAAAGAGAAATCAAAGAAATACAGTAAAACCCCCAGACGTGTAACCCTTCTCCCAGGTGCAACAAGGGTTGGCTTCAGCCTGTTATTTCTAAAATAAATAACCCCATAGCTCGAACCCCCACCTACTGCCTTGCTCTCATTTCTGGCTCTGGGAAATTAAAATAAAACCTCTTTGGTTACCTTTGAAGGTGGTTGTTCTCCACTTGCAAGCACTCAAGAGTCCTTTGGGGGGCATGGATACACAAATATCGTCTTTATTTTGGGGGGAAAGGGAAAAACAGTCAAAAGAAGCATGAAAAAAACAGTATATATTTGCAAAGAAGAACCCGAACAACCCAAATCAGTGTGTCAGAAGTTTGATCCACTCGATAGTCCCAAACCATAAACATCCAGCTTAAGCAGGTTCAGAACTCTATCTCACCACACACCCCACCCACATAAAACTCCACTCACTGGTTAAGCTAGTCTCAATGGCAGTCAAGAGGATCCCAGGGGTGGCTCTCCTCCACTGGTCTGTTCAATCTGGTCCCACTCCAATGTGCAGCTACCTGTCTAGTTCTCTGGTTTTACCTGCTTCCACCAACTAGATGGGCCAGGGTCCTGTGAAGTCAGCTCAGCACTGCCACTGATCCAGCCGGGCCTCACTGTGGAGTCAGTTCCCTTACTTTGTCACTGTTGGCCCAGCTGGTCCTTGCTGGAAAGTTTAGCTCCTCTTCTGCTGCACTTGTCCAGTCTGCAGAGTCCTTCACACATGGCACAGAATCTCCAGGTGAGGAACCCACAGCCAGACAGGAGCCTTGAGCTGAGTCCCTGCTCCCTGGAATAGAGTTTCCCAATCAACAGACAAAGCCCTCTCCCCTCCTCTGTGCTTCTCAGCCAAGCTTCATTACCGAACCAAGTCATTACTCAAAGTCGGGGTAAGCCCTTGACCTGCCCAGTTCCTATGCATTCTCATGAGCACAGAATAATATTATCTCATTTGCTTATCAAAGCATAAACAAATTCCAGCCAAACAACACAACTTACTAGGTGGAGTTATGGATAAACAACATAATGGATGTAAATGAAGCTGTCCAGAGCTGGCTTTTCCCCTTCTCCCCAATAGAAGGGTCAGTGAGCTCTATCACTCTAGGTCTTCTAGCCCTGGGGCTCACACATATCACCGTCACAGGCAGTATTTGGTACCCCTGATAACGTTATTATCTAGCACAAATACACATACTATTATCTGTGATCTGATAGTAGAGCACAGCTCTGTACACCTGAATTATCATACTGGAGCCAACCTTCACAGACCCAATATAACTATATCAAAGCATTTTTGCTCTTTTTTCTGCTTGGGAAAGAAAAAACGTCAACACTCCTGGAGGAATTATAACTTTTGCTGAGAGAACACTAGTCTGATCCTTTGTTGCCACCCTTTGAAATCCTAAGGTTTAATTTGGTGAGTCTCAAGGATCTCGGTTAAATTGATTTTTTCTTTTTAATAACACATCCACTTGTCTACATCTCAAAACAGCAATGGCATGAACATTTCTTTTTTAAAAGTTTTACAAGTTTTCTGCCCCCAAAGACACATGTAGGCCATTTCTTACAGAGAGTGCTTTGACTGGGCAGTTTTATCTGAGGGAAACAATGATGTTCTCTGAGTTATTTTCTGTTGATTTGGTTTTTGTTGATTGGTGGTTTAAACTGACTATATACTGGTCAGTGATAAACTAGGTTTCAAAACCTCCCTCTTCATCCTGCCAGCGTCACGGATATTCCAGACTTCACCCTGGGTTTCCCTCTTGCCACCTAAACTATATGGGAGAAGAAATGAACTGACCCTCTTAGTCCAATTCTCTCAAATCACAGATCCTAAATTATATATAATGCTCTCCCAACAATGACAGGTTTCAGAGTAACAGCCGTGTTAGTCTGTATTCGCAAAAAGAAAAGAAGTACTTGTAGCACCTTAGAGACTAACCAATTGGTTAGTCTCTAAGGTGCTACAAGTACTCCTTTTCTTTCTCCCAACAATGTTACCTGCCAAAATCAGACTTCTATAACCTTCTCCAAGCACAACACTACCTCATTAGAATACCTGTCTGGAAAGGTGTTGTCATAAATATAAAGGGAAGGGTAAACCCCTTTAAAATCCCTCCTGGCCAGAGGAAAAATCCTCTCACCTGTAAAGGGTTAAGAAGCTAAAGGTAACCTCGCTGGCACCTGACCAAAATGACCAATGAGGAGACAAGATACTTTCAAAAGCTGGGAGGAGGGAGAGAAAAAAAGGGTCTGTGGGTATGCTGCTTTGCCAGGGATAGAACAGGAATGGAGTCTTAGAACTTTTAGTAAGTAATCTAGCTAGGTATGCGTTAGATTATGATTTCTTTAAATGGCTGAGAAAAGAATTGTGCTGAATAGAATGACTATTTCTGTCTGTGTGTCTTTTTTGTAACTTAAGGTTTTGCCTAGAGGGATTCTCTATGTTTTGAATCTAGTTACCCTGTAAGGTACCTACCATCCTGATTTTACAGGGGTGATTCCTTTACTCCTATTTACTTCTATTTCTATTAAAAGTCTTCTTGTAAGAAAACTGAATGCTTTTTCATTGTTCTCAGATCCAAGGGTTTGGGTCTGTGGTCACCTATGCAAATTGGTGAGGATTTTTACCAAACCTTTCCCAGGAAGTGGGGTGCAAGGGTTGGGAGGATTTTGGAGGGAAAGACGTGTCCAAACTACGTTTCCCAGTAAACCAGTTAGAATTTGGTGGTGGCAGTGGTTATTCCAAGGACAAAAGATAAAATTAATTTGTACCTTGGGGAAGTTTTAACCTAAGCTGGTAAAAGTAAGCTTAGGAGGTTTTCATGCAGGTCCCCACATCTGTACCCTAGAGTTCAGAGTGGGGGAGGAACCTTGACAGGTGTATGCTAACCCATGGCTCTATTCAAAGAGCAGCAGGAGACGGCAAAAATTATAGGAGAAATTGCCATATTCCATACCACAGTGAAATATGTATTTCATATTCTATCTAAATGCCCATTAGTTCAGTGAATAAAGCACTGGACTTGGAGCCAAAAGAAATGGGCTCTATTCCCAGCTTTACTATTGACTTGCAGTTGGACATAGGTCAAGCAGCCTCTCTCTCCAATTTTTCCCATCTGTAATGAAGATTGGAAAGTGCTCTGAAATCTATGAATGAAAAGATGATACATTTTTGTGTTATTTTCTCAATGTTCTGAGTCGGACAGCACTGCCATGGGTCACCATACTGGCTCACATCAGAAAGCCCTTCAGTTGCTCTTTGGCTGAACACTGTACAAGAAACACAAGATAAGATACAGATCACAACACAGAAAATCCTGAGATCTGTTTGAGGAGCTGTAGGCTCCAGCAGATGGGCCACTCACAACCAGCAGGAAAAACAGACTGTCTCTGGCTAAAGCCATGCTGCATTATTCTCATGAGGATGTTAGTCTCCTGCCTGCATATACATGTTTGTGTAACAATTTTTATCACATTCCTTCACTGAGAATAAAAACTGCTCTGTACAGAGAGCCAGCACAAGATCTATCGTATATACCACCTAACTTTGACTGAAACCCTGCATGTTTACCTCTTCCCTTACTAGAACTATGAACAGTATAATGAGGAGGAGTCTGGTGGCACCAAATACCTACATATATGTTTTCTGGGCATAATAGTACTGCTCTAAATTCTTTCCTGTGTCCTTCTCCATAGATATGAATACCACTCTAGAAATAGGCATGCATGATGAAATGTATGTACTAGTAATACTTGCCTGTGAATCTATCTGTGCACCTAAAACAATCACTTAAAGAAAGCAATATTACAACTCTCTTTAAGGTGACAGAAGTTCATGGGCATTATAGGAGAGGTTGGGGAGGATGTCCACTGTGTCATTTAAAGTCCATCTAACTCAAATCTCAAAGCAAACATGTAGGTGTTGGTGCTTTTCTAACCTCTGCCAGCCCAGCTGCGTAGCTCAATTAAAAAACCCCACCAGAAAACAAGCACTGAAGCATCTGCCCATCCTTAGTCAATACCCAGAATTCCCTTCCACTTGAGAGCAAGTTAGAAGTAGATACTGTTTTAACTATTTCAAATCATATATGGTCAAAGCTGGTTAATCTGAATCCATTAGGAAAATTCCATGTGTACTAGATTTAAAACAAAAATCAGATGAACAATTATACTGCTCCATGATGGATTCAATTGTGCTAGGTATACAGCAATCACAGATAAATATCAGGTTCCCCAAATGTTAGGGGGTGGAAAATATCTAGAATACAGAGAACATTTTTTTTTAAAAAAAAGAAAAGAATACCACCTGCATGAATTAAATTTACTGCAGTGCTTTCAGCATTCCCCAAGGTAAGTATACGCAAAATAGCACAATGACTACAATAAGTGTCGTTTTACTGATCTCTGTTTCATGTAAAGTATGTTTATATTGTATTAATATCATCATCAAATGACTGTGCATTTTAAAAATGGGAGAATAATTTGTGTAAGTAACACAGACTTTTCTGTTTGCACAATTCCAGTCTGAAAATGTTTTAATGCAGATGATGTTCCACCAGGGGGCTCTGTTTACACATGATATGAACATCTGACTTTCAGCAGAGCTTCTGTCTCCTCTTTAAATATTTTCACCAAGTTAAAGAAAAACTATGTGGTTTAAGTAAGCAGTAATGTATTACAGCATGTAGGTATACTGAACATGTGCTCATCAGGGATAGGTAATTAGCTACATGCCATCAATCTCAGAAGTATAGGCATACAGCATACAACTACTGACCTATTTTCTTGGTCAGTGAAGAAGCATCATGAGGATAACTCTTCATTATGTGCAAAATTCTGCCCAAACTTACACTGCTTTGAATTCAAAGGGAGTTTCTCCCTTGACTTCAAAGGGAGTTAGATTAGGACCTCAGGGTCATTTGAAGAGGCTGCCGATATCACCACAGAGCCAGGCAATTTTTGACAGGAAATGACTTTTTAAAAGGCTGGCCTTTCCTATGAGTAGAGCCCTCTACTATCTTTTGAGACTTACATGGCTCCAAAGGTCTAGTGAATTTTTTTTATTATTATTATTTTTTTACAGGCTTTCACCCACAATGATAAATGCTCTCTATCTTCATCCAGCCATTCAAAAAGCAGCTGTTCCTCTTTTCACATGAGCACCTGTTTACAAACTTATCATAAGAAACTTTAAGATGCAGTGAAATAAATACTTGTTTACGTGGTTTAGGAACCGAGGTGCCATTTTCAAAAATCATGATTTCCTTGAGAGTGCCTAGGCACTGCTGAAAATTCCACTAGGTACCTATCTGAATCTTTAGGCACCTGAATTCTTTTAAAATTTGAGAGCCTTTAAATTGACTTTCAATGAGACTTAGGCTCTTAAGTGTCTAAGGACGTGTCTATGCTAGGAGCACTTTACCGGTATAGATATACCAACATATGATGCCGGCAAAGCTCTTCTAAAGTGGACACAGCTTATACTGGCTAAGCTTCACTTTTACTGATATAGTTATTCTACCCCCACTTGGGAAGGAAACAAGCTGTAGAGAAAAAAAGGGCAGTTGCCAGTACCGCTCTGTCTAGACTAGGGCCTTCTGCCAACACAGCTATGTCCGTCAGGGATCACATCTCTTCACGCCCCTGACAACATAGCATATGCTGGTAGAAATCTGTACTGTAGGGGTGTCTTAAGTCATTTTTTAAACTGGGACTTAGACCAGGTCTATACTACAGACTTCTGTCAGCGTCACTATGTTGGGTCAAGGGTGTGAAGAGGTGTGATCCCTGACTGACAGCTGTGCTGGCAGAAGCTCCTAGTGTAGATGAAGCTGTATTGGGAAACTGCACTTTTACCGGTATAGCTCATTTTGCTTGGGGATGCGGGGAATAACTATACTGGTAAAAGTGCAGCTTTGCAGGTATAAGCTGCATCCACACTAGGAGTGCTTCTCTGGTACAGAATACTGGTATTGCTATACCAGTGAGGTGCACCTAGTGTAGATATGACCTTAAGCTGCTTTGTCATTTAGGCACTTTTGAAAAATATCCCCTATATCTTGAGCTATTCCAGCTCCCCGAGTTGATTGTCTCCAGAATACAGTTATGCAGCAGCTACTGTATTTATTGCACTGCATCTTAGAATTTCTTATTGTGAATTTGTAAACTGGTGTTCAGGTGAAACAAAATACCAGCTAAAGAGGAACTACTGCTGTTCAGACAGCTGAATAAAGGTGGAGAACATTTCTCATCAGAGGTGTAAACCAATGATTTTTTTTTTTAAACCAGGCCTTTTCAGCCATGTGAGTCCCAGAAGCAGCAGGGCGCTCTATTCATAGGAAAGGTGAGCCTAAGTAGAAGTCATCTCCCCTCAAAAACTGGCTAGCTCTGTGGTGATGCCTGTATAAATGAGCTCCACATAATTTTTGACCACACTACTCCAGGTTCTTGGGCCCATGAGTTGAAGGACTGATGAGTTCACAACTGAGCTCTGCTTTCCTGCTGGAATAACCAACCCCTCTTTAAGGTGTCAAATTTAAATAGTCCTAGTGGAATATAATTAGCTTCCAGCTGGGAATATCTCACTGAATTGCCTGTGAATCCTGACTGGGAATTCACCCCTCAAACCCTACACTACTGTTTGGTACTGCAGGACCCTCTCTTATGAACACCTGTGGGGCAGGGTGTGTCAGAGCTCCAGGATCTGATCTACAGAGCAGCAAAACACTTATACTTTATCATAATTCCTTTTCTTTCTTTCTTTCTTTCTTTCTTTCTTTCTTTCTTTCTTTCTTTCTTTCTTTCTTCTCCCCAGCTACACATACTGACTAGTTAAAATAAAACCAGGAAATTGAATACAGAGTTGTCACAGGACAAAATTTTGAAAATCATTGGTTTGATTAAGTCACAAGTTTAGTTGCAATAAAACTTTCTCTTGGCAATTATCCAGAAGCAACAGGTCATTTTCCTGTGACATTATCCCTGACCCCACTTAAGGAGATCTCAGTTCTCTTTTGGAAAAATTCTCTAGGAGTCCTTAGTGAAGGAATTACAGAGCTGATTCTGATTTCAATTATACTGTGTTGCCCTGTGTAATTCCACTGACTTCAGTGGAATTACTCCTTATTTATACTGGTCAGAATGAGAGCAGAATAAGGCCCATTATTTCCAGGATAAGGGGGTATATTTATATATAAAGCAATCCTAATTGTTAATAAAGTGGAGATCTCTATTAGAATGCTCTGTCTGCACATGAGATTGTACACTGCATGATCACTCTAGTACGTGACCCCTGCAATAGTTTCATTCCCCTTAATTCTTCAATACTGATGTTAGTCTTTAGAGATTCTTCAGAAAAAATCCCAAAAGCAAATCATGTCTACTCCATGTTGGATTTCCAAGGAGCTAAATACTGTACTTTCTTTAAAATGTAATGACACCATTTCCCTTTGCTTTCGTTATAGCTCTCTCTCTAATCTCTGATCCAGTCTCTGCCCTCTGCTCTCTCACTCTCTCTCTCTTGTCTTGTCTGTTGTTTGTGCAGGTTCAGGACAATCACTTCTCTTTGCTTTAAGCCATGTTTTATCTTTATGCTTTTTTTGGGCCCAACCTCCTTTTCCACAAACCTCTTTTCTTCCATCTGACAGTTCGAGAATTTTTTCTCTCTCTTTCTGGAGGTTCCCGTTGCTATAGTGACACCTGATGATTACAGAGACAGTGGCTACCTTTGTTAAAACTCTGGTTGCTATAGCAATGGCTGTTGGCTGTGGGTTCAATGAAAACCTTCTTAGGAAGGAAGCCAGTTCATATCCTTCTACTCAGCAATCTATCTAGTAAAGGTTTCTTTAATTGTGCACAGTAGCAAGTCTGAGAGGCAAATATTGTTCTCACTACAGTCAATGGGAGTTTTGCCATTAACTTTAACGGGACCACAAATTGGTCCTGAATTCCCATTGCATACCTAACAAAAGGAATACACAGTTGGCACAGTGGCAAACACAGAGTCTGGTTTAACATAGTCAGCAACATTGACCCTGTTAACAAAACTTGGATACCAATGAGTAGATTTCTATAAAGACTGAATTAAATAATAACCACTTTAGGACTACTGCAGAAATGAGTGCCTCAGCCATTTCTATGATCAAAAACTCCACATTGCTTGCGGGTGGGGAGTGTCTTCTTTTTAAACAGCAGAATCACAAAGCTGAAATGTGCTTGTCTTTTTTCAGGGAAAGGTGTGCCATCCTTGTCTCCATTTAGAAATAGCCACATGAGAATGAACTTTCCTAATGAAAGATGTATACATTGTTAATGGGTTGTTCCTGTTGAAGGGGTTGATAACATGCTGATCTTCTGCCTATCGAGACTGCCACTTATTGGCAGGGTGCCTGGAGTTCTTTCCATTATTATGAGGCTGACCGATGAAGAACATTTCCAAGTGAGGTTTCCCACTTGGTGAACTATTACTGTTCTATTTTGAGTAACATGGGGAGAATTGTACTCTGGTGGGAACCCTAATCAAGAACATCTTAACCAAAAGAAAGTACCCTCAGATATTTTATTTGCTTTTGTAATTTATAGATTCATAGATTTCAAGGCCAGAATGGATCATCGTGATCATCCAGTCTGACCTCCTGCATAACCCAGGCCATAGAACTTCCTAAAAATAATTCCTAGAGCATAAGAAAAAAACATCCAAACTTGGTTTAAAAATTATAAGTTAGAGAAATCACCTCTTTTTCCACTTATTTTTGAGGGCTAGCCCGTAAAGAACATATAGGAGTTGTTGTTTTGGGCAACCATTCCTCTGCCTCCAGAGTCTTCACCTGTTGCTCATTCCTCTCCCTCATGTTATCCAACTTCTATATGAAGCTGAGACAACATGTACTGAAATGCCAGCAGACACCCAGTTGTTAAGGACTGATCTGTACTGGCTGGATTCTATGGTGCCTGCTGGCTTTATATATCCCTTTAATCACATTTTTCCATCTGAAATTTGCACAATCACTCAATATAAAACTCCTTAGCATCCTTACCTCAGTAACGCTGCAAATTGAAAGAAGCTTTACTTTATGGAAGCAGTCCCCTTGCAGATCTTCACCACATATTACTGAGCTAGAGTTTTGTGGAAAAAAAAAAGAGAGAGATGGGACATACCCTCTATTCATGTTTGGTTTTCATATGAAAAATTGCCAGTTCCAAATATTTGTACTCAACTGAGTACATATTAAAAAAGCAAACAAGTACCTTAAATAGCTACTGTTGAATCTAAAACCATCTTCCAAACTCTTGGGCCAAAATGGACTCTATTGATTTTAGCATTTGCAAAGGGAAAAGGAGGGAAAGAAAGTGAAATATTGCCATTGCAGCAATGGGATTTAAGTAAGTCTTCCACTGCCTCCCACCAAACTCAGCTGTACAGTAAGATTTTCACCTGTATTCATTCCCCAGATACCATCACACTGAAGAAATCCCAGATTCTTTGAATTGCTGAAGCACAGTGAAAACCCTGAAAGGGAATGGTACACAGTGTTCTTCAGGGCCTCTCCTGAACTGCTGTTTGTGTGTTTCCATGCACTGGAAAACAGTGGGAGCTCTTGGAAATTTCTTTCCTCAGCCTAACTGCAGAATTCAAAGCACTAGGTGATTGTTGCTGAAATCTCACAAGGAGTTTCTTCTCCATTGCATGTCCATGTGATGTAATCCATCCAGTCTGATTGTCAGTTACTGCATAGGTCCCTGAAATATACAAAAATCTTGGAGTCCAGAGATTTTGCTGGGAATTTTCTGAGCTAATTGTACAGAAGTTATAAATGAGCTCCACATAATTTTTGACCACACTACTCCAGGTTCTTGGGCCCATGAGTTGAAGGACTGTCTCTAAGGGCCAAATCCTGGCTGTACCTGCTCCCACAGCACAGAGCTGGATGGAGCTGTGCATAAACTGGACTGTTTAATCTCTAAAAGGTATAGGATAATTTTGTCTCCTATTTTGCCAGCGTTTACATACCATGTATTTTTGATTTTTCATGTACTCTTTATTAAAAAGATGTGCAATGCTGCTCTCTTATAATTAATGGGTAAATTATATTCTGCCATTCAGAAAATGGTGTTATTATTTTCCACATCCTTAAAATGGAATGAGAAATTCAAAATACCATGGGCTATTGGAGTTAGACAAAGTGTAAGCTTAGGGTTAGGTTGTAGCTTGCACTGTATGGTGGGCATGAAGGAAAGAAGGCATTAAAAGATCCCTACTCCCTGCACAACTATACAAGAGACAGCTATGCTATCAGTCCTTGTCATCATGGTGTGTAAGCTCCAGGTGTGTTTAACACTCACAGCAACTCTAGACACACCAAATGAGGCTGGGTGAAACAGCGGCTATGCCAGTCCCCCACTCACTCTGAACCATACAGAGGTTCATGTACAATGCACTTGGTCAAAATCACAGTTCCCTCTCTGGTGGGTGAACCTCTGAGCTCCTGGAGGTAACCCAACTGAACAAGCCAAAATGTCTCTAGGAGACTGATGCACCACCATATCTGCGTTAGCTTGGGCTCTACTTGTAAAAGCCAAAATGGAGCACTTATTCTCATTTTCCCTGAAAGTAAGCAAATTGAAAACATTCTGGTACAAAGCATCAAAGTACCTCAGATTTCTAATGGTATAAAAATGTTCATTTCTAGCTCTTGTCATTCACAAAATACTGCAGCTTCATGGTGTCACACAGTCCTTGCTCTAACAATGCTTTTTCTCTGTCTTTTTCTTTTTCTGCCTCTATGCTCTCTTTTAAATCACTTTCCATTCCTGTTGGATGCAGGCCATGAGAACCTGTTCTTATTGTGAGAAAATGGTTAGCAAAAGGATGAGCCTTGGATTTACATCAAAATATTGTCAGTGCTGTCTCATCTTCTCCTGAGGTCACAGCTGGAGACCTTCACTGAGAATGTGCTACCCATGCTGTGTGAAAGTCTAAACTTACGCTTCTCCTACTATATTGTATTTACAGAGCACAGCTCTCTTGCTACATTGTGGATGCTGGAACAGTCTCTGAGATACCCAGGTCCTAACCCACTTAGACTAGGACCAAGACTTTGAATTCAGTCCCACAGTGAACTGTACAAACTGCAGTCTTTGTGTGGCATTCATATTTATTCCCGGTTGGCGTGAGTTGCAGAAGTCTACCCAGGAGGTAACAAAGGCATAGATCGCAGTGACAAGTTCTTTGTAGAAGAGGACAGTTCACAGCTTCCTAGTCAGCTCGTTTCTATTGGATTTGGAGTTAAAACAGTAGTAGGGGCTTGGCACTTCTCCTGCTGTTATTTCTATACCCTTTTGACCTCCATGGAATATAGAGAAACAGTCTGTGAATGCTACTCTACATACATTCCACATGAGAAAAAGACAGATTTTTTAAGAGTTAAAAGTGGAGATATTACATAATTAAACATGTTTGCCAGGTTTAGTTACTGTGCAGACTCAAAGGTTCTTTTTGTGAATGTGGAATAAACTGCCAGCAAGGCACAGATTTTTTCATTTGTGTGTTTCGAAGTCTGGTTTTGAATATGGCATTTTGTTACGAGACCTACCAGAAGTGGAGAAAAAGTCACAGTTATTAGCTCTGAAAGAAAGTCATTTTTTGGGTTACATCTGCCTCTGAATGCTAATTGCCTTATTTTTTTTTTTTTAAAAAAAGAAAGATATTTTGGTAAGGGTTCAAAAGAAGTAAATCTGCCAACATAAGTATCCCATCCCCTCACAGACTTTTGCCCTTTTATCAAGCAGTTATGAATTTTGGGAAAAAATATGGAAAACTGAAGATGGAAAACAGGGATATTGTAATTTTACTGTAACGTTATGCTATCATGTTTTATATTTTCAAATTTATAGGATAATAGGAGAAAAGTGTGAGAGGAGATACATTATTTGGGTCATAGAGTGGCAGTAGTTTCTCACTGTAAATCTGATTTTTCCAATCCTCCCAATAACATCCCTAGAAAGAAACCGATCCTTCATAAATTTCACATGCAACATCCCATCCCAAGGTGGGATTTTTCTGGAAAGTTTGGAGGGAGAAAATCAGCAAAGGTGTTTTAAAGTCATGCTTAAAGCCATTGACTAATTTGTATGGTTCAGTTTGGTCCAAAATAGTTTGGCCAATCAACTGGAAACTTGTTCTGTTGGCCTTGCTGAGAAGTGCCTTTTAGTGTGTGTGTGTGTGTGTGTGTGTATTGTAGGGTGGGGGAAGAGAGGGTTTTTTGCGGGGAAATTACAATAATATATTATATAAAGAGTTTGTGGTGAGGGAGGGGTACATACCCACACTAAAGTCTGTAGGGAAGAAATTATGTAGGAGCTTGCTAGATCAGAGGTATAAAGAAGAGTCAGTGGCAAGCTGTGAGAGGGCCTCTGAAAGAAGAAGTTCTGTCTCTCCTACTGTTGCTCAGTTCATGGAGGAAACAGGTTCAGATAGAGTACAGGCCTGGGTTGGGAGCAAAGAAGAAGTGGGAAACTGTCCTTGTTGGATGCTTTGAAAGTTAAGAACTACATGCTGTTTTCTTCTGGTTGAAGCAAGCCATTTTTTGTTTGCCATTTTCCCAAACAGGCTGAAGAAAACCCCGAATCTGATACCCCATACACTGGTCCAGGGCAGAGGTGTTCTGGGCAGTGAGAGTTGGTTAGAGTGACAGTAGACAGGATGAAGAGAGATTATATGGCAATGGAGAACTGACTAGATCCCTCAACCCTTTATTTTGATTTTTTTTTAAAGTAGAGTTTTTGTAAAGACAATGTAATATTATTTTGGATATTAGATAAAGTCTATTGAAACACATTTGGCTTTTAAGGAGGAATTCAGATATGACAGGGATCGGCCCAAATCAGTAGCTAGCTAGCTGAACAGAATTCATTTTAAACAACTTGAGGAGATTTGTTTGGGAATTAATTTACATTCTTTAACTCTGGGGCATGAAAGGAATAATCTGCTGATATGGTTTGGAGATTCCATATTACAACAGTTAAGTGTGTAAACCAGCTGCTGCTAGCCAGTTTGCACATGAATCTGTCATTTTGTTATGCTTGATGGAGGCCTTATTTTAATATGCAGAGCAAACCATAGATTTTGGCAAGTGCCAGAATGAAAAGTAGCCAGTAGGTTTCTCTTCGGGTAGCCTGCTGCAATTATAGTGTTGTATGCATTTTTAAGCACTTTCTCGCTTTTGGAGATTACTGACAAACAAAAGGTTTCCATAGAAGGAACCTTGACATACAACCTGTGGAACTCTTAGTCAGAGTATCAAAAGTATCAAAATGTTGTTCAGAAATCTAGCAGCATAATTTTAAAGGCTTTTGAAATACATGGCTTTTGTGCTCCCCACCTTTCATTTTTTGTCTTACTTTTGCTTAACCTGATTGTGAAGCTGATAGCATTTGACTAAAGTGTGTCTGATATTTCTGACACTAGCATAAAGGTAATGATCAGAATGTTTGCAGGATGAAGAATCCAGCATTTGGTCCCATCTCTGTTTTGTGAAGAGACAGAAATGATTTCGTTAGGGACATCTTTTGCAGTGAAAAAGCACATATAAAGGAGAATGGAAAGGGAGTGGATTTCTGGGAAGAGGAAATAAACCATACACCTTAATGTCAGGACTAGCATCAGTGCAGACATGGATGGGGGAATGGTTACACAGCTGTGTGGAGTGTAAGGGTTCAAGAGAACATTGCACTAAACCCTGAAGACAAAACGAAGCTTGTGCATAGCATGTACTTCAACGTTCAGCTTTCGTTCCCACCCAACACTGACAGCAGGATGGGCTCACATGCAGCGTTGTCTTTTATTCCCCCAGTCCAAACGCGTACGTGAACTCTATCTGCTGGTCTGAGCAAACAACAGAAAGAAAGTAAATGCTGAAGACTTAACATATGCACCAAAAGGCATGAAGATGTTCTTATGTCTAAAGCCCAGACCTGGGAGTCTGGAGACCAGGATTCTATCCCTGGCTTTGCATGCTCTTTATATAGAAAGAACAACATTTTCTTACCCCATAGGTGTGTTGACTTCATTTATTGATGCCTTTAAAGGGCTTTGGGATCCTTAGAT